AGTGTGATTTGGTATAATAGTATCGATTTTTCCAACTTAATCTATATTTTTTCTGCGTATAAAATATTTACTGATATTATTATTACTGGGGGCAGTCACAAGGTGGCTAGATTCATTAACCACAGAAATATAATTGCTTTGCAATAGGGTTCCACCTTTACTAGAATTCGATATATTTTTTTCGTCATCTCCACCAATGACGGGTTTCAATATAGCCTCCGATTTCAGGCACTCAAGCTAATTGGCTTTCGATTTCAATTTGCTCTTTATATTTTCTAATTCAGCTATTTTGATTTGAGAGATAAATTCTCAGATTCTTTTTTCGATGAGTCATTTTGAATCAAAATCACATCTTTTTGGACTGAAGACAACTTACTTTTCAATATCTTGATCATAGACTTAAGTAATCTAATTTTATTAGATTTTATGACATTCTCGGCTTTGTACTTAGTATAGAAAATCTGTGATTGGGTAAGTTGGTATGTAAGATTAGTATTGTCCATTTTCAATTGTTTTAAATCCCGATCCCACACTTTTCATTCTCAATTAAATCCCTGCTCTTGTTTTAATTGATTGGCTCATAATATTTTGTTGCAGGTATTTAGATCGGATATAATTTTTGTAGCATAATGTAATTTTTCATTGATATTCATATTAACTATATATACATATCTTTTTTCAAATATAAAAAAATAAAGAAAAAATTAGCAAAGTTGGGTATATATGTATATTGAGTTTGATATATCATATGGGATATATGTGACAAATAGAATATATATATATATTAGATCTTTTGAAAAAAGGAGATTTTATCTTTTAGAATATCCATATTGAGATATCCAAAGAGACCTACTCTACAGACCTGTTTTATTTTTTCAATATTTTTTAAATTTTTTACTGGATATAAATATCTTATATTTTTAAAACAACAAAAAAAGAATTAAGTATTTATTATCATAGTAAGAAAATGCATAAAATTTGGCACACCTATATTTTCTCTAGCAGATTATAATTATATTATGCAATGTCATAATATAGAACCAAGATATAAAATTTTAAAGGATTTATTAGATAAGTATAAAACATTATCAAAACAGATTTATCGGATCTGGAGAAAAGAAGAATCTAATAGAGTTGCCTGGGATCAACCTATACCTCACTTACGAGATAATGACTCTAATCAAAATACTAAGTATTTTGATAGTAGCTCCAGTAATATATCCAATTCTACTATGAATGCTCTTCATATAGAATCTAAACCTTTAGACCCAAAGGGCCATGGCTTTACCATAGATAATGTATTAGTAGAGCCAACACAATCAAGTAAGTGAACAAAAACAAAGAGATCCAAATCTGTTCGAGTATTGAACCCACCTGTTATTTCCAATGACTCAACAGAAAAAATAGATGTAGAAACAGTTGCTGATTTTAGACGTGCAGTAGAAAAAGGTAGGGAAATTTAGCAAAAACAGAGTATGGGATCGATTAGATATAGACTCTAAACTTTATCTATTCTCTCTATTTTTACCGAATAACCCAATATAATGTTAAGTAAGGCATTGAGATTGACAATAATTTTAGTTGCATCATATATTTCTTTCACATACCTTTCGCAATTCACACATTTTTTTTAATGGTGTATTGTCATCATCGCTATCTATAGCAAAGCCATAGCTCTTTGAGCCTACATCCTGCATTTTACTAGGTATTGAAGTATTAGTATCTTGAGATATAGTTGTGCAATTCACCTCTAATTTATTTTTAACCTTGTGCATATTGATTGGGATAAAGAACTCCTTATCATTACACTCCAACCTCAACTAGCGATTTGATGCAAGTAGATCATAATTATATTTATCAAGCAAAGTATTAGGTAAAATCAGTATCGGCTTATGATGTTTAACAATAGCAAAATCAGAATATATGGTACAACTTGGGGTGAAGTTTACTGGCACATTACAGATGATTCTAATAGATTCAGTGGGTGATGTAGCAATTCTGCTGAGATCATGTTTTTCCTTTGTATTGATTACAAATTTTAAACATTTAACAATGTCTTCAGTTATAATTAGAAAATTTGCACCAGGATCAACTGTGGCTGCCAGAATTACTAATCTTTTGATTTTATACTTTGTGGTAACAACATCTGTGGCTGTATCTTTTTTCTGAATGAAATCAATTTCCATAGAATTGTCTAATATCTCTTCTTCACTATCTGAATCAGGTATTTCTGGAGCTGGTTCTCTATAATTTTTAACAGAGATAGTTTTACTAAAATCAGATTTTTGAATAGATAGAGCTAAAGTGAGTAAACTCTCAGCATGAGCTGGCATATTGGTGTTAATCTTAGCTTTGAATTTTTCTATCCAATCTATAGGTGCAATGCCATCAAGCATATCTAGTACAACCCTTTGAAGAGATTTATCAATAATAGTAGATTTATTTCGTAACTTACTAGAATTGAGATTTAGATTCAGCTGAGAATTCTTCAAAATTGGACCCTGATTCGGAGCCAGAATCAGAATCATTATCAAAAGAGTTAGTATCTGAATCTGACTCAGAGCTCAAATCTACAGTAACCTTATGGATATTACCTTTTTTATTTTTGGATCTACTTTTCTTTTTCCAAGAACACTTATGAGAATTATACCCAGTCCTATTACAGTTTGAGCAACGGTATTGTGCTTTCATAGCTTTTTTAACAGCCTTAGCTATGTGCAACTTTAACTGCTTCTTTGTAAGATTGGCCAATTAATCATCGGAGTCAACTTCAACTTTCTTTATTACTGGTTTTGGAGGCAAATCGGGCTTGAAGATAGAAACAAATTCTGAAACCTCCCAATAATCTATTGTACAAATCTATCCATTATTATATCTTGCATTTTTTGATATGTGCCAGGAGGTTGTGGTCTATAATAAGGTTGAGGTGTCTGCAATGGTTGTGATGGCTGTATTTGCTGAGGAGCTGATTGTGAAGAAACGGATTAGGATTGTGTAGGTGTTATTAATTTAGATGACAATTTATAACTAGACTAGGGTATTTTACTAACTAATCTGAATTTTTTCTCTGCTCTTCACATTTCAATTCGCTCTAAAATTTCAAAAAGATCAGCTAATGGTTGCTCAGTACCAATGTGTTCTGCATCATCCTCCAAGTCTGGAGACAAACCTCTTAGAAATTGTCCCT